CACTGTCCAGTAGCGTCTCTCCCTGTCCCCCATCTGCCTAAACTTTAGTGGGAGTTACCTAGTGGGGAGGATGCAGGTACAATACGTCGAGGTGCAAGTAAGCTGCCCCAAACACTACAGTTATTAAAAAAAAGAAGAGAAAGTCTAGTAGCGTCTTAAAGCTGATTTACATTATTCACATCCTAACCATACAAAGCTTCTTGAGATGAAATCATCTCCTTGTCAACGCAGTATATATAAGTGTTTTGTGTTTTCTTTTTCCTATAATTCAGACGCCTCTGTGTGGTATTCTCTAATAGATGTTCTCTGTTCTACTTCCCTATAATTCATACACCGCTGTTTGTTATGCTCAGATTTAAGGATTATAATTGTAGAAGTTGGTTGAAACAATGGTTTTAACCTACCTTATCAAAAAGAAAGTTGAAGAAACAAGAGTTCTTTAAAGTAAACTATCATGAGTCATGAATTTTAGGAAGATTATGGAAGAAGTAGCATAGAGAATATTTGTGCAATAATTGTTGCTCATATATTTGAAATTATGCACAGATCAGACTAACATTTTGAACATCGATATGTGCTGTCAAATATGGTTTTCTAGTTCAATTTTCTGCTATTTGTGACATTTTTTATTGGATCTTGCTGTTCTACTGGTCATAATTATTCTGGCTTGGTACTATTTCTTTGAACAGAGCTTCATGTTTGATTGTGATGAGTCATCTTCTTTCCATGACATTTGTCACCGCTGTAAATGCTAATGCTAAAGAATTTTTATGTATGTAGGCATTTCGTATGTTTAGTGCCTTCTTGAAGCATATTTGTACTCACAAGCCTTGAAGATTTAATTTACTTTTGGCTTTTACCTTGAATTCTGGTTGTTCTGCCCCGTTAAACATAACAGCATTTGTGTCATTTGATACTGTGAAACTTCATGTTCACTGCTACATGTCATTAAGCTTACGGTGCACTGATTGGGGACTTGATGTTCCTCAAATTTTTGCCTAAATCCCCTTAAGGAAGTTTTTGGATTTCAGGTGGGATGTTTGCTGAAGGATGGTGCTCCATTGCCAGAGTTGGCAACCATTGCTCCATCGTCAGAGTTTGTAAGCATTGCTCCATCGTCGGAGTTTGTAAGCATTGCTCCATTGTCGGAGTTGATAAGCCCCGGCAGAAGGTAATATTTGTCTCACCTGCATTCTTGGTATCACTGAACTGGAAGCTCCATGTTACAAGCTTCAACGAGTCTAATGATGTCAATTCTAGGTTTCCCTTTGAGGCGCTTAGTCAAAAGAACCAAGCATGTACCCAGAACAAAGATGGCAGTGATACAGAGGATGATAATGATGACGACGATGGAGATGCTGAGGATCAGGATGATGACGATGATGCAAACGACGAAGATTTCTCAGGTGAAGAAGGGGAAGATGACGACGACGAAGAAGGAGATCCTGAGGAGGATCATGCAGCTAATGGCAACGAAGGGAGTGATGACGATGATGACGATGGTGATGACGACGATGATGATGGTGATGGTGATGGTGATGAGGAAGAAGACGAGGAGGAAGACGAGGAGGAGGACGAGGATCAACCACCTGCCAAAAAGAGAAAGTGAAGTGTTTGTTAGATGTTTATATTCTGCTTCTCTATCATGGTTGAGGAGAGTATGTAGTGGAAAGAGAAGGGGAGGTTTAGCTTTTCTGTCTCTGACAGTGTAGGAAATTAACCATCCTTGTTCAAAACAAATGAAGTGTTGGATTGTTACTTATGCTACATGTTACATTTAATTGGACTAATATTCTGCATACTTGGTTAAATATCTGTCAGTCTATTGGAAACCACCTCTCTTTCGTACATCTTACCTTTCCCACACCTCACTTGTGGGATTTTTCGAAAACGACATCTCTATCTGACAAAGATAGGGGTAAGATTTGCATATATCTTACCTTTTTTAGATCTTACTTGTGGGATTATATTGGGTATGTTGTTGGTATCGATTATAGTAGGTATGTTGTTGTTGGTAAGGTATCTATCAATCTATCGGAAACAACCTCTCTATGTCACAAAGGTAGAGGTGAGGTTTGCATACATTTTATCCTCCTTTGGATCTCATCTACGGAATGTCTTTTTTAGATCTCACTTGTGGGATTACACTTGGTATGTTATTGTTGTTGGTAAAGTATCTACCAATCTATAGGAAACACACTCTCTATCTCACTAAGATAAGAGATAAGGTTTGTATACACCCTATCTTCCCTCGGATTTTACTTGTAAAATTATACTCAATATGTTATTGTTGGTAAAGTATCATCTATTAGTTGCCTTATATCTAGAAAAGCTATCATACAAGAAAGGTAAAGTTCAAATTTTATGAATCTTTGGAATTGATGCATTGGGATTTGAATACCATTGTTTATACCATTTCTTTGGGAACACTCCACTTTGCTCTTTGTGTCACAACTTCTACTAGCAACTGGCTTCAGGTTCTCCTTGAAGCACCATGTTGAGTAGAGATTTGAATACTTTTCTCTTATATAAATGAGAGTTTTTCTACTTTCAATATGACTGTTTTTTGCCATATTTAGGAAAGCTTAAGGGCAATTTGGTCCAATTTTTAATATTTTTCGAACGAATAATATTGTACTTCACTTTTTTGTAGTTGTACTTATAAAAATTTGGGACATAAAAACCCTTCCACATTTTACTTTTCAGCCGCAAAAAAGATTTGCCTAGTTTCCATGCATGTGGGCCATTCTTTTTCTCCACTTTCCTTCTACTCCCTCCATCCCTATTTACTTGTCCATATTTCCTTTTTTAGTTGTCCCTATTTAGTTGTTCATTTTGACATATCAAGAAAGGACAACAAATTTTTTCCTATTGTACCCTTATTTACACTTCTTGAAAATTGTAAAAGTGTATGTTGTTTCCCTCCAATTTATTTCACTTGAATTCAAATAAGTGGTTGTAATTTTGAAGTGAAAAGTTGTCATAAGGGTAAAATTGTAACTTCACTGTGCTAATCATTGTTGCCTTAATCTGTGTGCCATTTCTAAAGTGGACAACTAAAAAGGGACGGAGGGAGTATTAATTAAGATTAATTAATGCATACTATAATATAGGTCCCACTTCTTATTTCCTTTTCTTTATTTATATCTCATAACTTCTTTCATTTTATTTTTTATGGCAAAATCATTTTTTTAAAATGCTAATTACTTTATTTGTTTACCAAATATGGAAAAATTATGTCTTTTTTTTAGTTTGTTATATATCTAAAAATTGTATAAATATAAATAACACTATAAATCATAATAATTAACAACTTAAATATTTAAAAGTTATATAAAAAAATTTAATTGACTCTCGAAATTCCATTGATATCAATTTATAAATCACAATAATTAACAATTTAAAAAGTATAAAATATATATAAAAAATCACTTGACTTTAAAAAAATCTTATCAGTGCTACATAAATTGGGACAGGAGAAGTAACATAGATGATCTGAAAATTACGTTAAATTTTTAAAAGACATATAAAAAATGATTAATTTTTGAAATTCTATATATGCCACGTAAATTGAAACAAAGAGAGTAATAGATATTATTTTTAAAATTATATAAAAAGTACTAACAACTTAAAATCATATAAAAATTTGGCTAACTTTTCAAGTTCTATGACACTTCCTTCGTCCCATATTAATTGACTATTATTCTAAAAATAGTTGTCTCATATTAGTTGATATCTTACTAAATCAACAAAATATTATTTAAAATTTTCTTATATTACCCTTGCCGTTAATTCCTTTTGAAAGTGTCACATTTGTTTGTAAAATTCTCACAAAGTTTTTTAAGGGTTGAATTAGTAAAGTTATTTTCTTATTTATAATTTCTTCAGTACCGTGCAAAATAAAAAATAATCAATTAATATGAGACGAACAGATTCCAGCACGGGGCCATGTATCTAGTTCAGTTTAGAAGCGGTAGCTTTCTGCCTCCCTTGGGGTGAGTAGTTTCCTTCCCTTTTTAAGAATGTCTTAAGTAATCTGCTTAGCAAATTATGAATCTCTTAATATTTGGAGGTGGAGTGGAGGTACATGGTCCAAATGGAAACTCAATCAATTAAATACCTAAAAAAACTATACTATATATGCAAATGTGATGAAAATAAATTATTTTTTCTCAACATATAAATTATTGAATTCGCTTAAAAGACGAGAAGCTTCTAGTTTCGTGACAAGTGGATTCAATATCCTATTATATATACAAAATAAAATTTTAATCCTAGATCCACTCAGAGGGTATGAAGCTAAAAAAAAAAATGAAAATGCAGACAGTCAAAAATAGTGGAAGTATAGATAGTCCAAATCACTTTGATAGGTAGGTTTAGTCGTTGTAGAAAATAAACTTTATTGAATTTTCTATTATAATAAAAATAAAATGTGTATATTAAAACTATTAATGAAGGATGTAAGTATATATAATCAATGAATTAACTGATCTCAATATCTTCGATATAAAGTATAGTAAGGGGAAACAATTAAAGTTAAAATTTTAAAAACGAAATAAATTTAAATAATAAATTTTTAAATGTTGAACCGATCAAATTTAACGAAAAGATATTGAATTATTAAAAGTTGAATATTTGATGTTTGTTGATCAGGCAAAGTCAAAGCAATTAGTTGTATCATACATTAACCTATAAACTATATATAGCATTGACTTTTAAGTTGCATATTAAATTCCATTTGAGGAATCAATAAAATAAAAGAATATCAAAAGGAAACTTTCTCTACAAGCTCAATTTTACAGCAAAACACAAAAAAAAAAAAAAAAAAAAACAGCTTTAAAATGGCCATTTCAAGTTCCAATATTCTACACTAGATTCAACATAACCAAGAGTCTATCACAAACAGTCTCTCTATACCATGCAGGTAGAGGTAAGACTTGCATACATCCTACCCTCCTCAGACTCCACTCGTGGAATTACACTGCGCGTACAGATACAAAATGTCAAAAAGCAAAAAGAAGATCATAACATTTTCTGCAATTTCTAATGAAGAACTATTGACAGAGATCCTCCTTCATCTCCCTGTAAAATCACTCGTTCGTTGCAAATGCGTATCGCGAAAATGGCTTTGTTTAATAACTAGCCCTCAGTTTACGCGCCTCAGAGTCCCCTGTTTTCGCCCTGCAAGTGGCGTTTTTTTGTACCACTCTTCATTTTTAACCAACCCGTATCACAAGTTTGTGCCATTTAGCCTGGAAAACCCAATTCCAACACCATTACAAAAGTTCCCTTTTCTACAACATGATCATCACAATCCTAAAATCATGATATCGCAATCTTGCAATGGACTTTTGCTCTGTCATACAGTTCATAATCCGTTCACGTTTGATGAAAACTACTACATATTCAACCCGACTACTCAACAATTTGTCACACTTCCTAGACCATTATCAGGGGATGTTATCGGAATGAGTTTAGCCTTTGATCCATGGAAATCATCTCATTACAAAGTTATCTCCCTCCAAATTTCTAAACTTGAACCTGCAAATCACCAGATAGAGATTTACTCATCTGAACATAAGAAATGGAGAGTTTCTGGACAACCTTTTCCTAGACATTACGATATATGTTTCAAAAACAGACTAGTTTACTGGAATGGAGCCATTTATGTGTCATGTATCAAACGTTTCAACGTAGAACAAGAAAAGTTTGAAGAGGTTGCCATACCTGAAGTCCAAGATCATGAAGAGGATGATTACATGATCGTCTACTTTGGGGAGTCTTATGGCCATTTGCACCTCATACAAGTGAATCGCCAGAACTTAGCTTTGTACAATGTCTACGAGATGAAACATGATGGTACAGGGTGGTTCTTGAAGTACGAGGTGAATTTTGAAGACGTTGTGTTGGCATTTCCTCACATAATTCGAGGTTTTCTCGAGACAACAGATTTTCATTACTATGGCATGGCTGTGCTAGATGTTGTAAGGGGAGATAAAGAAGAGGATTCATTCTTGATTTTGCATATTCCTGGAATGGTTATACTACGTTACAACTTGGTGGATAAGTCATTCTACAAGCTCTGGGATTTTGACAATGGAGTTCATGATGCATTTGCTTGGTGTCTGCATTTTGATAGATCAAACACTTACCAGTACATTGAATCTACCTATTGTTGGTAAGTAAGTACACAAGCACCTCACACCGTTGTTGTTGCTCATTCCTTTAACTTCGGGGAATACTAACAACAGATTGTTTCGATGGTTGTTAGTTTAAATATAATGTTTGGTTTGATTGTTACTTAAATTTTATGATATGTTACATCAATAATTTATTTTAAATCTTGTCAAAAAATCTATAGCGTAATGATCAAAGGAACCAGAACTAACAAAGCTAACATTGAAAGATGACGAATCAGCCAACAACATACCCAATATAATCCCACAAGTGGGGTCTAGGGAGGGTAGAGTGTACGAAGACCTTACCTCTACTGCATAGAGATAGAGAGGTTGATAGACCATCGGTTTCAAATAAAGCATTTCCAAACAGATTGAAAAAGAGATAGGTGAGAAACATAAAGTCCAAATTAAGCTTCATACTCCATTTCCACAAATAGAAGTTGATGTTCAAAATAGTACTCCAAAAATAAAATAAGAAACTAATATTCGAGAGGTTTAGTGAAACTCTTATCAGCAGGAGGGTAAGTGATTAGGAAACCACAATATTATTTCATGTCTGTCAAGTCTTCTCAAACATATGCCAGATGGTAAGCCTTAAACTGCAAAAATATTGAGGCAATGAACACTTCAAGCCTTCGAGATATGGTACCATCTAGAAGGTAAACCTGCAGTGTAATAGAAATGTAGCGGGTTATAGTCACCTAAATTGACATCACCACAAGAAATCAAGTGATATGAATTGATGCCCGACATAATGTCGTGGTGTTCAGATTTCACTTTGTTCACAAAACATGGAAAGCGCCAAAAGAAATGCAGGAAATCCAGTACAATTGGAGAAACTAATCATGCTGAACGTTAAAATATCACAACACTTGGTACAATTGCAATTTCCATAGGTTTTTGTAAAACCATTGGCAATTGAGAAGTGCATCGCAAGCCTGTTACTATCATTTTACCATATTGCACAAACAAAACCTCCAAGAGCTCAATCACAAGTAATCGCTAGCACTCTATAATGTTCACTCATGTATCAAAATTTGTCCTTGAACTAATCCAAATTGAGGCATTTTTGAGTCACGACATAACGGAGGGTAATGCTAACCTGTTTCAAATAGATCAGGTATGTTTTTGGCTCTTTTCCCTCTTTTCATTTCAATTCTAATATTGCCACTACACTTGCCCTTATAATTGAGAGGGTATTAAACTAAATTATAGAATGAACTAGGCTTAATCAACTCCACAGTTTTTTAATCATCATGTATTAAACTATTGCAATGATTTTTCAGTTGCATATCAAATTGCATTTAAGGAATCAAATAAAAATCCAACAACCAAAAAAGAGGAAACTTTCTCTGCAAGATCAATCTTTTGCAGAAAAAAAATTGAGCTTTAAAATGGCCATTTCGATTCCAAAATACTACAACAGATACAAAATGCCAAAGAGCAAAAAGAAGATCATAACCTTTTTTGCAAATGTAGTGTTTTCTATTGAAGGACTATTGACAGAGATTCTCCTTCATCTGCCTGTACAATCACTTAGCCAATGCAAATGTATATAAAAAGAAATGGTGTTCATTAATCTCTAACTCTCACTTCACGCGTGTCAGAATTCCCTATTTTAGCCCGGCAAGTAGCATCGTTTTGTAACATTATTCATATTTAACCAACCCTTTTTAGACTTTTTGAGCTCATTACACAGTTGTAATGAAGCTCTCTATGTAAATAGATTGCAGCAGTTTTCTACTCTTTTATATAATAACTTTACCAATGAAATACTTCCTAACACTAATCATAGACAAACTTTACGAATTTCATTCCATCCGCCAATTTATCAAGCATAACATCAGATCATGTGTATCCAAGATTACTTCACACAAATGCACACATACACCATTCAAATACATGTAAATCACAACAGACACATAGAAGATGCAACAATATTGGATAATTAATCAAGTACTACAAGATTCACTTACTAAGGCAACTTTCCGGCCCGGAAAGTAGCAAACTTTGACACTTGTGAATAGCTGTAATCAATGTCATTGTCCTTCAAAAATGCCTCAATCATTGCTTTAACTTTCTCTGGCTCCAAGCTTTCACATTCAATCTCATAACAAGTCCCAAAGTCATACATAGTCTCATCTACCTCCAATTCCACACCACACCACTCAAACACATTCCTCACATTCTTAAACTCACCCAATCCAATAAACCCTTCCTCCCCAACGTGAAATTCCTCTCTTGCCCTTTTCAAAACCCTAGAATCTACCTCCATCAGTTTTCTAGGGTTAGAAACACATTCATATCCAATTTTCGGATCTAATTCCTCTTCATCCTCTTCCACTCGGCTAACACCGTCGATAATTACAGCTTTAGCCTTGAGACACACCATGCATTTCACGTTCTCCGAATTCTCATAGAATCGGAGCCGGAGAACAGCCCGGCTCGAGCTCAACTCCCCGGCAGCGCCATCGAAGAAAGTGTTACGCTGGTGGTGTGTTTTTTTGTGGTACGATGAGAAAAGTGAGACAACCTTCTGATGTGCTGCTGAATCCGGCAATCGGAGCTTCACTTCAACCTCCATTAATTGAGGCCGATGCGGTTGTTTTTGGAGGAGGGATCGACTGTTGAGCGGTCGAAGTGTTGGAGGAGAGAGGAGGCACCGGCTGTGGCAGCGCCGCCGGTAGCGGTGGTGGTACTGGTGGAGGAAGAGGCGGCGATGAGGGCGGCGCGTTTGCGAGCTTCTTCGAGTTCTTCTTTGTCTTCGATTTTGACTTCGATTTTGCTGGGTTTTCTTCTCAGCATTTCTGTTTCGTATATCTCAAGCGAAAGTTCAGTTTTTTTTAATTATTACTACTTATTAGAAGTGAGAGTTGAGGTGTACCAACACTGCACTATTAAATTGTACAAAAGGGATCATGAATTGTACTATATATGTTTGGCCTACTTTATTGTTGAATCAACATGTAGATTGCATGTGTTTTAATATTTTAGATACAAATAATTCCCTACAATTTTCAATGTCTTCACTATTTCAATTCTCTCTTTTTTTTATTTTACTCCTTTTTAGAAATGGGAGTTTGGGAGGACCAACATTGCACTAAAAAGTTGGACTAAAAGCTATAGAAATTGTACATTGAGGCCCACCAAAAAGATGAACTATTCTTTTTTTCTACTTTCCATTCTCCCCTTTTACTCTCTTTAGTTTATCTTTCATCTTAAATTTTTCATACATCTTTAAAATATTTTGAATTATTAATTATTATGAATTATAATGTTTTGATTTTTACGTAGTTTACAAATATATAAATTTCATTTTTTAAAAAATTGAAGATATCATACGCAAATTTATGGTCAAACTTGAATTATTTGATTCTTGAGAAATAAAAAGTGTCACATAAAATGGGACAGACGAAGGATAACTCTCAATTAAATTTATTTCACTTTTTAGTTTCCATTTTTAACATAATTTTTGAAGTTGGATTTGTAGGAATTGTATAGTAGACCCATTTAAATTTTACTTTTTTGTTTTAAATTAGAGAATTTGGCCGCACTTCGCACGATCATTAAAATTAAATATTTTTGATTAATTTTATATTTACTCTGTTGTTTAATCGTAATATTATTATTTGTTTTAATAATATGAAGATTGTGAAAAAAATAAAGCTTCACAAATTTTACATCTATTAAATGAGGAAGAATATATTTTTTATCAAATAAGTTAAAATATATTTGCTAATAACAAATTCTTCCATTGCATGAAGTTGATCCTTTAATATATAATATATATTCCGGTGTATCATTCTCCTTAAATGTCTAAGAAATATCTCATAATGTCAAATAACATTGTAATACTCCCTCTGTCCCTAATTACTTGTCCACTTTTAAATTGACACATTTATTAAGAAATCAATTAATGACATAGTGAGTTTATCATTTTACCCCTATTAATTATGAAGTAGATGAAAAGTTCTGCAATTTTCAAAGTAATTAGTCATTTAATTGAGGGTATAATAGGTAAAAAAATTGTTCTTTCTTGATTTGTCAAAATGGACAAGTAATTCGAGACAACTATAAAAGGAAAAGTGAACAAGTAAGTAGGGATAGAGGGAGTACTAAACAAATGCATCAGCAAATGAAATTTATATTAAAAATATACTGAATGATGACGTAATGATACCTTAATAAAATTTCCTATCCATTTAAAAAAAATAAAAAATTCACCCTTTCAATTTCGTTATATCTTCTTATTTAGTAGAAGAATCATCATTTATTATATTCTACTCCACCTTAATTGTACCATCAGAGTTTTAAGAATAAACATTAAATTTTAAATCGAAATAAAAAATCATTGAAAAATGACAGAAAAAATAATAATAGTATATGAAAATTAAAATAAGGTGCAAGAAAAGCCTTTTCACGATAATTTTTTAAATATATTGATAACAATTAAAATGAAGCTGTTATTTTATCTTTAAAATTAAGTTTGATTGAATTGAATTAGTACAATGAGAAAAAATATTAAACTAATAACTTTTTAATGTTATTAAATGCATTTTCTTTTTAATTGAGTAGTAGATTAAAAGTTTCGAATTAGGATATTAAAATAATATCTTACTCTCTCCTTAATTATTATGGTATTGCAAACATTTATTTTCCTTAAATGCTGATTCATTTTTCATTTACAGTTATATCCAATTAATTTCTAATGTATTGAATGTGGTTATGGGATATTGAAATAATATCTTTATCTTTTCTTAATCATAATAAAATTATAATTTAATATTTTTTTCTGAAATGATAATTTTTTTTTAATCCTAGAACATATTGTTTACTATATTGAATGTAATTATAATAAAACATATTGTATTTAGTATGACAAAAGAACTCAAAAATTAGAGAAATTAGATAAATAGTAATCTTAGCTTCTAAGAAATGTCACATCATCATTTACATATCCAATTTTATATATATAAAAGAGTTAAAAAAGAAAAAATAAGTGATTTAAGAAAATTATATAAATAACATTAGTGATCAGATGAAGATTAAGAAAAAACGTCAAATAAATTAGTAGTATTGATGATGATAAAAGTTAAATAAATCATTTTTTCTATTATTTAAATATTTAACATAAAAATTCCAATCTTTTAAAATTAAAAATTAAAAAAAAATCGAGGCAATAATTATTATAAAGAAAAATATAACCAAAATTGTCAGAAAAAATTGATAAAAATAAATAAGTATCTATTACTAAAAATGGTGTCACTACATTTTCTATTTTAACTTTATTGTTACATATGGATAGAAACTTTTAGAAGAAGAAATGATTCAAAAATTTAAAAATAATGATTCCTTAAATGGTGATTCCTTTTCCATTTACAGATTTTCAATTAATTTTTAATGTATTATATATGGTTATGGATATTGGAATAATAATTTTAGCTTTCCTTAATCATAATAAATTATATTTTAACCTTTGTTTTTGTGAAATGATAATTTTCTTTTCATTCGTACAACATATTCATTAATATATTAAATGTAATTATAATAAAACATGTTGTATTTAGTATGACAAAAGAGTTCAAAATTTTAAAAAATTAAATAAATAATAATCCTAACTTCTAAGAAATGTCACAAATATATATATATATATATATATATCTAAGAAAATGATATAAATTACATTAATGATGAAATGAAGATTAAGAAAAGAAGTAAAACAAATTAATAATAATATTGATGATGATAGGAGTTAAATAAATCATTTTTTATTTTTTGTAAATTTTCAATATAAATTTTTCAGTCTTTTAAAATTAGAAAATGCTAAAAAAAAAACTAAAACTAAAAATCGAGGCAACAATTATTTTAAGGAAAAATAACAAAAAATGTCAGAAACATTGATAAGAATAAATAAGCATCTATTGCTAAGAAGGTGTCATCCCACATTTTCTATTTTAGCTTTATTATTACATATAGATAGAAACTTTAAGATGAAGAATAATCCAAAAAAATTAAAATAACAAATCAATTATGTAAAAATACATGTGTAATTCTTATAAAGTTATAATAACTAATTTCTTCAAATGAATAATTAAATGAAAGAAAAAAAAGTAATTAAGAAAATAATATAAATAACACTAATTATGAGATTAATAGCATTGATGAGGAAAGGAACTAAACTATGATCATCTTTTTAAATTCTTTTTTAAGAAAATATATATAAACTTTAATTAAAGATAAATAAGAAAAAAAAACTTTAAAGATACAAAAAATCAAGACAAAATAAAAGAAGAAAGAAATTAGAAGAATAATGAGGTTGAAAGAAATAATATCTAATTTTCTCTCTTTTCAAATCACAAAATAAATTTTTGCTTGTTCTCCTCCTAATTTGATACGAATTCCATAAATATAATGATTTTTTCTCCAAATAACTTTTCTTACCCTTTGAAACACTAATCAGCCTTCTTATAAATTTGTCAACCACAATAAATTTTCTCTCCTTGTAGGAGGAATAAACATTTTTTCAAAAAGTCTTTTATTTTGAAAAGAACTTTTTGTTACATAATCTCTTTCTTTACATCAATGTCTTCACAAGAATCATGAGATATTCTCTCTTTCTTTTTTGTTAAAAAAGTCACATGACCTAGAAATTTGATGGACATCTTAGCCACAGAAGTTGATACCATATATTGATCATCATCATCGTCAGAAAAAGAAGAGCCAAAGTGAAGAAATTTGTTCTTATTTGTTACAAATGGTCAACTATTTTTTTTATTTTATAGGCTAAATAATTATAAACAGTTATGAAAAATGAATAGTTTTTATCTTTTCATCTTCCATTTTCATTTACTTAAATTTATATTAGTGTATTGGATGTTATAAAGGGCATAATTAATCGGGTATAATATAAATACTTTTTAAAAAAAATACAAATAAGAAATACAAAACAAAGATAAAATGTCAAAAAAAGAGAAAAAAGATGAATAGAAATACTGGTCATAGAGAGATGCCACATCAGATTGTCTATATTCAGCTTTATATATACATATATAGGTTCATGCCCTTATATGTTATTTTATTACTTTAGCTGGCATCGATATTTTTGTAAATCTGATATCTACTTTGGAACATTTTATAATGTGGCATAGGCTGACAATTGAGATCATAAATTTAAAAATAATAAAATTTAATTTAATATAATACTAATATCAATATCATAAAGATATATATATATATATATATATATATATATCATTTAAAAAATATATAAAAATATTATAAATTGTAATAATTAACCGCTTTATTTTTTTAAAATCATATAACTAATTTAATTTACACTCCAAAATTCATAGGTGTCACATAATTTAGACATTAATTCTTCATTACTCAATATATGTAATTATATCAATGACATATAAATGAAATAAAAAAATTACATATTTTATTTGAAAATCACGTAATAGTACTATAAGGTATAATAATTAACAACTTAACATATTTTAAAATTTTAGTTGACTCTCCAAATTTCATATGTCTCATGTAATTGAGACAGAGAAAAACATATATTGGTTTAAAATAAATAAAAATATTATAAATTATAATAATTAACAACTTAATTTATTAAAAAAATCCTTTAAAAAAATTTAGTTGGCTCTACAAATTCAATCGTATTACAATAATTAAAACATAGAAATTAAAATAGATTGGACTCCTGCTAACATTTATGTTTGCTTTTTAAAAAAAATTTCTTTTATACTTTATATAAATAAATTTTTTATGTAAAAAGTATTATAAATTATAATAATTAATAGCTTAAAATATTTGA